GGGGGGCTGAGAGGACGGGGCTGAGAGGACGGGGGGGCTGAGGCAGCAGGTCTGAGGTCTGTCTGAGCTGCCCATCACCTGCTGCATGCTGAAAGCAGTAGGTCCCTATCCTACCTTCAAGTGAACCAGCCAGTCTCCCACCCGGTTCTAAGACTCAATGTCCCCATCTGTGAAATGGGAAGAGCCCAGCCACACACTGCCTGGATCCATGTGTGTGTGTGCGCACATTACAGCACAAAGAACTCAGCACATCTGAAGGCAGGACCACAGCTGTGAGGTCCCTGGGTACCTCCTCATACCCTCTCCATCCCCAGAACCTTGGAGGATAACCCTGCTGTCCTCGAGTTATCAAGAGACCCAAACAAGCTCACCAATGAGGGACGCCACCCCCAAGGAGACAGTGAATGACGTCATAACCCCGTGCACACTAGGATATCACTAGAGGTATTTTATTTTATTATTTGTGTGTGTGTGTTTACTGCCAAATCAGATCTGACTCGTACAGGAGGAGACTGTCCCTCCAAGATAATTTTTTTTTTTAGATAATTTATTTTTAAAGAGAGATACTTAGCAGGTAGATATGGTCCCCAGCCGGCCACCCAGCATCTCCCCAGATGTGAGGCAAGTGGAATGTGGAATTTTCTGATAAAACCTGACTTAAGTGTAGAAGGTCTGGTGACAGTGATTAATTGACTATTGACCACAGGGTCAGCAGTTCGAACCCACTCCCTGCTCTGTGCAAGAAAGATGAGGCAGTGTCTCTGTTTGAAGACTCAGAGCCCTGGAAACACGGGGCCGTCCACCTGTCCTATAGTCACTGTGAGGCGGGAGCAGAGCGCCCTACAGGTCAGCTATGGGGTCTTCACCGGAAAGGACCTCATCTGGTACAGCCAGGGCCCTGAGGGAGGGCCACTGAGGGGCCCAGGCCATCATCCCTACCAGCTTCTGGAGCCACTGACCCAACCTGGGTGGTGATGTCCATACCACATTCCCAAGAGAGAGAGGTCTGGGGGAGAGTCTACAAACACACTTACCCAGCCCATTTGACGGGCACCGAAGAAGATGGGGGACCATGCCCAGTTCAGGGCCAGCTGCCCAGCGTAGAGACCCAGGGGGACCACGGCCTCCTCCGAGAAGCCCCCCAGCTCTTTCCAGATCAAGTAGGAGCCGTACCTGCAACAAAGCCGCACCTGTCAGAGCTCCTGTGGGCAGAGGGCAGGAGCTGGCCCGACTCACCGTGGGCACGCGAGGTCAGGTGCCCACCCTCTGGGACCAAGAGCCTGCACAGGCCTGGACGCCGTGTGGCCTCAGGGGAGTGGCTGGGCCTGTCTGGGATGTGGGTTACACCTTCGTGGTGCTGGGAGTCAGCCCCGAACACTGTCATCACCAGGGCTGTGGAGGCAGCAGCGCCATGTGGAGGATGCACGTTCAGGCAGGGCCTTGACTGGTGACTAGGAGTTTGTCAGAGAGAAGCAAGAGAATTTGCAGAGATTCAAAGGCAGGTTCAAGAGCCTGGTTTGGTCTGTGAGACTGCAGGATGAGGTCTGAGGGGCCCAACAGGAGAGAGAGTGGAGAAGCCATTGAGGCCCTGACCAAGGGCGCTTTTCTGGGCGTGAGGGCAGCACCCTCGCCAAGTGTAATGGTGGCCACTCTCCAGCTGTTGTGCACCAGGCCCTGTGCCAACACCTTCCAAGCATCAACTCAGTCCATCCTGATAATGAACTGGGCACTACCATCAACCCATTTTACAGATGAGGAAACTGAGGCACAGAGAGCTGAGATCAGAGTCCAGCTCTTAACGGGCTGTGAGAGGTCTGACCTTATCCAGGACCACAGAGAGCGCAGAAGTGCGGCTCGGGTTTGATTTCAGCTTCAGCTGGGTCCTAATTGTGGAAGGGGCGTGTCCTGGAGGCGGAAGCAGGTGGTGGAGGGACAGAGGTGCCTGGGCCAGGATCCTCTATGCCGGGGGGTGAGGGTGCGGGGGTGATGGGAGCTCCACTGAGCAGGGACTGGGCACTGGTGGGGTTCAGGTGGTGGTCAGGTGACACCCAAGTTGAGGGGATCTGGTTTTAATTCCATCAGGTCCCCACCCTGGCCGTTGCTACGTGCTCTGAGATGCTCACAGCCCTGCCCTGCACTAGGCTGGCAGTCAGCCCGCCAGGATACACTGGAGAAGGACAGAGGGCTGACCACATCTCCTCAATGCAGTGCTTGTGGCAGCCACTGGGGGCGCCGTCCCAGGCCCCCACGCCTCTTCTCCATCACAATCCAGCTGAAACCCAGAGAGGAGAAGGCAGTAGCAGGCAGGCAGAGGGGCTCCGGCAGCATCCCTACTTATAGCCCGCAGGTGAGGGTGGCCATCTGTGCCTCCTTTGTCAAAGGGGAGTGTGGGAGTGAAGATGCAGTCTGGCACACGGCCAGGTCTCAGAGCACGACAAACCCAGGAATTGAACTCAGGTCTCTTGCATCCTGAGTTGCATGGATTCTCCCAGGGCCCTCCTAATCAGTTGCCATGGAATTGATTAGGATGCATGCCGATCTCAGTGTGTCAGCGCTGGCTGGGGGTGGGGGTGGGGGACAGGGGACAATTTCAGCAGCTGGGCCCTTGGGAGTCCATCACCAGGGTTTCCTTAGGCCACTCCTGGGTGGGAGTGAGCGGCTAAGCTTCCAGTTAGCACCCAGCATGACACCTACTGTTCCTGCTGCCCCTGCTGTCATGTCCCCACAGCTGGGCTGTCACCAGAGGCCCCGCCCTGCTGATCACAGGGCCGCTGACACCGCTCTGAGGTGCCTGAGCCTGGAGTTGTGACACAGTCAGGAAGCCAGTGTGGGGTGAAGGCGCCTGGCTGCCTCTCCAGTGCCCAGGAGAAGGCTGGGTTGTGCAACTGGAAAGCCTCAGCTTTCTGGCGGTTGGTGGCCCAGCCAGGCTGGGAGGTGGCTGCTTCCAGGCTGCTTCCTGCTCTGGGACCTGCCCTGCCCCTGCCTCTCTCAGGGTCGGTGACCCTGTAACCTGCTCAGGGTGACCAGACCCACTTACCCCATGGCTGAGTAGAGCGTGCCCCAGATGGGGCCAATTGCCCAGCGAGGCGGGTGCCAGGAGGGCTTCTGCAGAGTAGCATACCAGCGGAGACCCTCTCCATGCACGAAGCGGGAGCCCAGGAAGCCCCCGAGGCTAGGCACCAGCGTGAAACCCACAGCGGGCACCCAGGGTGGAGCCATGACGGTGGTAGCTGCTGTTCTAGAAAGTTCTGAAAGAGAAAATGGCTTCATTGAGCACTGAAGGGGGCCCAGAGGGGGATCCACTCTGCTGTTCCCCAAGCAGGGACCTGGGGTCAGTTAGCGGAGATCCAGGAGGAGGACCTTAGAAGATCAAGGTCACGGCTCAGTGCAGGGAGTTTATGGGGGAGGGGGGAGGGGCTGTTGTTATACCCACAGCTCTACCAGCTGAGTTCAAGGATTCAAGGGAGCACCCTTCATCCAAACCCCTGCCCCACCCAGATGCCGCCCTGCATAGCCAGGAGGCTGGGGTCCCTGCACCCCAAAGACAAGTTCCATCTCAGCTCCTGAACTCTCCCACCCTCATCCTTGGCCTTAGTTTCCTGGTAGACAGCTCCCCATCTCAGCTGCCTTGACCAAAGCCGGGTTAGTTGCCCCCTCCTCTACCCTACGCGCAAGAGGCTTTCCCAGTGCCAGTGCCTGGGGGGCCCTGAGAGCCACTTATACCCCCCTCCACGCCAGGTTGATGACTCCTAATGGCCCCTTGCACTCGCCAAAGGCCCATTCTGCTAGTGATCAAGGTTGCTGTCCTTGGTGGAAAATGTCAACATGGTCAATCAACTCTCTCAAAGACAGGCCACATCCCAGGCATGCGTGCTCCCCACGCACAATCCCCTCAGTGACAGAGAAGACCAGACAACCCTGCACAGAGGAACACGCCACAAAACAGCTGAGCAGGATGATAGCAATCTTTAAAAGGTGGAGGGTTAGTTAAAGACACAGAAGGGACAGTGGGAGGCAGCCCAGACTGCAGGAGACTGGGGGAACCAACGTCAGATCCCAACTGTGCGAGGTCCTGGGCGGGGGGTGAGGGGCTGGCCAGTCTGAGGACATCAGTGGAAAAGTGGGTGGAAATGGGGTCAGAGATGTTTCTGGTTCGGTTCCAGACCTAATGTGAATGTCTCAATAAAGAATACGAGTTTGTTTGTTTCTCAGTAGATGACACAACCTCACCTGCAGAAAATTAAGAATTTTTGAGGCACTTCCTGAAGATCAAAGGCTACAGCCTTCACGATGGATTACACCCCAAAATCCAGAAAGCAAAAATGTCCACCACTGGACCAACAAACAATGCCAAGATGTTGTTATTATGTGCCTTTGAGTCGCCTGTGACTTATAGTGACCAAATGTACAACAGCTCTGAAGCCTGCCCTGTCCTGAGTGAGTCTCATTGCCTCCAACACACCAAACCCCCTTGCCCTAGTTACTGTATCAATCCATCTCATCCGGGATCTTCTCCTGCACTGACCCCCCACCCTTCTGAGCAGAATGTCCCTCCTGGCCATGCACCCACAGTATGTGAGATGGAGCTTCAAAATGCTAGCCACCAAGGAGAAATTTGGTTTCACCCTCTCCAAGACAGACCAATTTGTTTTCTTGGTGGTCCATGGTATACTCAAGATTCTTCTCCAGCACCACAGCTCAAAGGCATTGATTCTTCTTCTGTCATCCTTAGTCATGATGTTGTTGTTGTTCTTGTCAATTGTTTTCGAGTTGAGCATGACTCATAGCGACCCTATGAGTAAAAGCCCTGAAGCCCCTCTACAACTATCGACGTTTATCACAGTTCATAGTTTCCAGAGGCAAGATGTTTAGGAAATGGATGCCACTCCTGCTTCCAACATGATAGTCATGATAGACCCCATCAAGTGAAAAGTTTTTTTCATTTTACTTGGATCTAAAATCAACACCCATGGTAATAGCAGTCAAGAAATCAAAAGACAACAAGGAACTCATGCAATATTATTCAACATGGGTGACCCTGGAGGACATTGTGCTGGGTGAAGTATCTCAGTCACAAAAGGACAAATACTGCATGGTGCCACTGTTGTAAAACAGGACATTGGGGTTGGGGGGAGACTGAGAAAGATGGGTTCAATAATGTATACTGCATTGAAACAGATGAGGGAGAAAACTGTTTAAAAGGGATATATATGATTAGGTATTTTTGTCATGACAGGAGTCCAGAGCGAAGGCTGCATAGTTGAGTGGACCTGGGGGAGGATTTGTAAAACAATGAGAGAATTTTTCATTTCCTTTTCCAAGTGGGTAGTGTACTAGGCGGGAGGGTTGGGAGGGGAGGAAAGTGCAACAATGAGTGAATGGAAATCCAAAGTCTCTGTAAATTTTCACTGAAATTAATAATATTTTTTTTTTAAAAAAGAAAAGAAATCAAAAGACATGTTGCACTAGGGAAATCTGCTGTCAAGGACCTCTCCAAAGTGATAAAGAATAAGAATGTTAATGTCAAGATTAAAAGGTGATCCAAGCAATGGTATTTCTCGTTGTTTTCTGTGCATCTAAAAATTGGGTAAAAATGAAGGAAGACCAAAGAAGAGAGGACACGTCTGAAGCATGGCTGGCAAAGAGCACGGAATATACCTAAAACGACAGATTTCTCTTGGAGGAAGTGCAACAGGTGTGCTCCTTAGAGGCAAAGGTGGTGAGACCAGGTCTCACAGAGTGTAGGCATATTGTGAGGAGGTGCCAGGCCTTGGAAAAAGGAAGGGGTCAGCGAAAGAGAGGACCCTCAACGAGATGACTGCACCAATGAGTGTAAGCATGGCAGGGATGGTGAGGCTGGCCCAGGACAGGGCAGGGCTTTGCTTTGTTGTTCAGAGGGTCACTATGAGTCATAGCTGATCTCATAAAACAACATAAAAGTTATGCTGATCGAGACTGCCGTCCGTGGAGTGTGTAACAGCCTGGGGAAAGGGTTCGAAATGTGGCGAGAAGGACCACATGACAGAGGCACGACATGAGCAAACGCTGTTGGAAGCTGGATTGTCACAAGCCTTCAGTTTGTAAAAAGAGGGGGATGTGCTTTGCATGATAAAACAGGGTCTGTATTGTATGGACCAGTGTTGAGTTTCTCAGCTCCATTATTGTCCAAGAAGCTGGTCGGCACAGACGAGAGAGCTACCATTCCTGTGACTGTCCTGTAAGTGTAAAACTGTCACTCACTGTGGTCGAGTGGGGGCCAACTCAGAGCTGGGCCTCCAGCAGATTTTCAGAGGCTGTAAATCACACGCACGGAGACTGCTCATCTTTCTCCGTCAAAACTTCTGGAGGATTTGAACCACCAGAGTCTAGAGACTACCTTTGGGTTAGCAGAACGCTGTGGACCAGGCAGATTTGAACAATAAATTGCCTGGTTCCCTACAGCACAGTGGGGGTAGGTGTGTCGGAGTCAGTGAGACTGGCTCAGGACAGGGCTGGCTTCAGAGCTGTCATACACGGGGTCGCTATGAGTCACAGGCGACTGGATGACACAAAACAACTTCAGCACAACTCCCTGGGGACTGAAACACTTTTTAAAAATTTAATTTTATTATTTTGTGTGTGTGTGTACCATCAAGTCAGATCTGACTGGTACAGGAGGAGATTGCCCCAGAAGCACAGCATCTGGTGGATTCAAACTGCATACCTCTGGGACTGCAAAGCAGCTTCTTGCCACTAGGCCACCAGAGCTCCCTGGGACTGTAACATTAAATTGCCTGGCCCCTGACTGGCTCACGCTGACTCCATGTGAGCTCCAGCCAATGTTCAGTGACAGATTTTTTAGAAGCAGGTTGCCAGGCCTTTATTCCAAGCTGCCTCTGGGTGGCTTCAAACCACCAACCCTTACAGTGATCACTCAAGCATGTGCTCAGTATTTGTTAACTAATCCGTCCCTCCCGAGCCTCACCTGGGTCACCCTGGTTCCCAATCGCCTCTCCTGGCTCTGCTCGCTACAAAATCCCATCGCCCTGGAGCTGATCCCCCCACCCCCCCAAAGAGACCCAGTGTCACAGGAGAGCTGTGACCTACGGGTTTGCTTGGCTGTCGCTGTTATAGAAGTTGTTCACCAGGCTTTTCTTCTGTGGGACCACTGGGTGGCTTTGAACCAGCAAGCATTGGACTAGCAGTCAAGCACAAGCTGTTTGCATGACAAAGTCCTCTCTGAACCCCCACTTGCTCAATGCCCACCCTACCTACCACAGCACCTGTGTGGATACGGAAACCCCAAAGAGGGCTGGCCCAGCCATCCCGCACACAGGCCACGCAGCTTCACCCTCCCTTGTACAGAATTAACCAGGGCTGATCTCCACAACCAATTGCGTGCTCCCTTACTCAGCTGTTGTGGAGTTAATTCCATCACAGGACATCTCCACAGGTCAGAGAGAACTGTGCTCCTAGACATGGACCCCTGGGCTGTGCAGAACCCACTGGGCCAAGCAGGGGTGGCCTCCCCTTATGGGAATGAGAAAGCAGAGGTAGACACCCCATGTGAACAGCTTCCAGAAGCAGAGCTCCCTGAGGTTCCCAGAACACCCCGATCCTGACTCACCCAACTGAGTTCCGCTAGGCAGGGGCGGAACCCACCAGGCTGACTCACACTGGGCTGGGCAGGCCCCGGAGAAATGTGGTTTGGTGCCAGGGGAGGGCCAGAGACAGGGAGTACCAGGGCAGGGAACGGGTGCTGGGCTCCAGAGGAAGCCAAAACCCCCACCAAACCTGCATTTCAAGCTCCTCCAAACCCCACATCAAACCCACTGGCATCGAGTTGTTTCCGACTCATACTGACTGGCCCTGTGGGACGGGGGAGGGCTGCTTCCCGGGCCTTCCCAGGCTGTATGCCTGAAGGAAGCACACTCCCTCACTGTCCACCTGCAGAGTGGTTTGTGGGTTCCAATCACTGAGCTTTCAGTTGGTAGCTCAGTGCTCTGACCCCTGCACCACCAGGTCTCTGTCTCACTCCTGCAGGAGAATCCACGCCCGGCTCTGCCTCCAGGCTCTGCCTCTCCAACTCCCAAATCTGAGCCTCATTTTCCTCCCATGTCAGATGGGTCTCCACAGGGTCTCTAGAAGGGGGTGTGACAGCAACAATGAGGGGAACAGGTATCAGTGTTGGGGACACTCACCCGATTTTCCTCAGGGAAAGCAGTGTGGCTCAGACCAGA